GTGCAGTAAATATGGTAAAGACAAATGCATCAGAAAAGACGATATCAAATGTTGATTTTCTTTATTAAATCAATCAAAGATTATTATTACCAAGAATCAATCAAAAAACGTTTATAGGACTTATAAACGTAAAGTCAGGCATTCACTTCTTGAATGTCATGATCTTGCATATGTTCGTGGCAGATGATTTTATCGAGTCAATCCACCAACAGAACCTTTCCATCATAACCCCTGATTGATTACTTAAAAAAATAAACTTGTATTCTAAGGTTAAACTATCCCACTGTTATCAGCTGACATTAGGCTAACGTTTATCTACATATTATAGTGTTCGGTGCGGTATGACCAGTTATGTGTCATTGTCAAACACAAATGAACAAACAAACTTAATTAAAGCAAAACAAAAAATATTACACTTTAATTTTAAATTATTTTCATAAAATCTTACTATTATAATTTAACTCTTGAAAACTATATACCTTTTAACCCCCCCACCCCCCAGAAAAAATGATCAAAAAAATGACCATGAATGTTTTAAATACTTTTAAAAGTATAAACATTTTGTTTTAACATGTACACTAGTTTTAAGGATACACAACAAGCTATAAGACAACAAAGAAATGTACACACTGAAACTCACTCCAATCTAAAGATAATAATTTTAACAGACTTATAAAAGCATTGGAAATAATTGACCACAAGTTTACACAAAACGTTAAAATGTTCGATTCATATGGGTACTTTACAAAAAGGGATAAATATATTAAACAATCCACTTAAAAGCTGTTTATGATATTATGAATATGTACCTGATAAAAAGGAGAGTTAGACAAAGATATCAGTAACTGTTTTTGTTGTCATTTTTCCTAAATAGAATCTTGTCACTTAGAATTCAAGGTAACGACAGTATGGAAAATTTACAATTTGTATAAACCAATGTGTGATAATATCTCAAGTATAAGGTTTTTAAGGTTTACAGATGTAGCAGACTTGATATCATCAGGATCGCATGGTGGCTAATTTCTGCCATTTCGTGGCTTCGCCTCTCAAAAGTCGAAGGCGAACACAGTATTATACACGATAATATGCTTTTGAGGGCGCCGACACGAAGACAAGATATGTTTTGGGCGAAATAACGATATTTCAATATCGAGATGTTTTTCCTGTAATATTATCGTGTCGGCAGATAGAAAACTTCGTATCGGCGCACTATATTTGTCGTGTCGTCGTGATGAACGTGATATACTTAAACCTTAGAATGCAAGTTTACGTCCTTAAAATGCGAAAGGCGAAGACACGATAATTGGTCAATTTATCGTGTCGTCGTGCCATCGCTCCAAAAGTTGAAGACACGATAAATTGCCAATTATTTGAACATTTTTTCATCACATATAGCTTTATACACAACTGTATAGTCTGTCCCATTAAAAATGGAAATGAACTTTTGCCTGGTATGAATTAACAAAACGAGGTTGAATAAAAAATAAACTATTTTTGTAAATTTTAAAAAAAGTCACCCTCCAGATTTTTCAGGATTTTTCTCTAAAGTGTCTACTTTTCTTGTGAAAGCAAATTTTGATTTCTCTATGGTAAATCTCTGTTGTTTATTTTCCGTAGCCATTGCCGAAGTAGACTCTTCATTTGAAGATGAACGGGAGAAAGCACGTGTCATGTTTCTTAAATAAACATGAGGTTCCAAATAAAATAAACCAGGACTTATTCCTTCTCATGTTATCGTATAAACAAGGTTAACATGCCGTAGTACGTACAAACTGACCAATTCGATCACAAAATTACTGAAAAAGCTATGGTCAAAATTAATGTCTTGAAAGGTGACTTTCTAATATGATCCAAAAGACAATTTCAAAGTGAATATTTTCAATATTTTCAAAAATTAATGTTGTATGTAAAAGCAAGTTGTTAAGTTAAAAAAAAATTAAAAGAAATATAGTCAAAATTAATGTCTTGGAAGGTGACTTTCTAATATGATCCAAAAGACAATTTCAAAGTGAATATCTTCAATATTTTCAAAAATTAATGTTGTATGTAAAAATAAGTTGTTAAGTTAAAAAAATTCATAATTATTTTTATATAGTGTATTCTGCTTGGTTAATTATCTCGTGGCCACGACTTAGCTATCTCGTGGCCGCGACTTAGTAACTCGTGGCCACGACATAGTATCTCGTGGCCAAGACTTAGCTATCTCGTGGCCACGACTTAGTAACTCGTGGCCACGACTTAGTATCTCGTGGCCACGACTTAGCTATCGCGTAGCCACTACTTAGTAGCTCGTGGCCACGACATAGTATCTCGTGGCCACGACTTAGCTATCTCGTGGCCACGACTTAGTAACTCGTGGCCACGACTTAGTATCTCGTGGCCACGACTCAGCTATCGCGTAGCCACGACTTAGTAACTCGTGGCCACGACATAGTATCTCGTGGCCACGAGATAAATAAAAACACACACATGTCACCTTTGTGCCACGGTACATGAATCTATAACAGTACAATACTTCTTCCATTAATTACATATAACCTTCGTTTCGATTTTATGTTTTTAAACTATTTTATATATTTTTCAGAAATAACTTCCCTATATATTTTCTCGTTATTCAAGTCTTCTGTAAATCCTACTCTTTTAGCTACAAAATATACAGTATGCTATTGTTTTTTCACTGAATATTTTCAAATTTTAGGAAGGCTAAAATTATTAAGGACGTCACACGGTGTTTCTCTTTGACTCGATCTCCCCTTCATATTAACATAATAATTATGTAACACTTTGTGTCTACAAAAAAAAAACCCACACACTTATTGTCGCTTATTGAACGCTCCAGTTCTAACTTATTCTTAATACATGTAGTCTAATATCAAATTAATGCCGGTATTTCTGGACATTCTGTTGAATTGTGAGACGGAAAGTTAAATCTGTATTTACAAGCTTAAAGTGTATAGGTCTACGCTTGATAGCATGATATCATATTCTTATAATTTACATTTTCCTCGAACGCGAGTCTGTGTTCTCTCTTTAGCGAGGGAGTTAGTTAAAGTAGACACTGTGGTTACAAGCAAACCATGCAATGCTGAACCTACAGTGAATCAGTTCTCCTTTCTATATATTTCTTGTCAGATTTGCATGATAATGTAGTATTTGTTGGCGATTTCTTGTGAAAGTTGAACCTACGGAAAATTTTAGCGCACAAACATCGCACCCGAAATTAGAAGGGTAACATATTTTTGTATCCCATCGAACCTGGTCAATTTAATTATTTTTGAATAGACGTGATACATACTAATGGACAGAATTCAGACAACTACAGAACTATGTAAATTAAACATAAATAAGCGAAGAACCATTTTTATAGTCTTCTAACTAGTGTTCACGTTCCCCTACGACGCGTTGCGGTATTCAAGATACGCACTTGATTGAAAAGCTATTTATCAAATCACTTCATTGCTCTTTTTTCTCTCTTAAAAAAAAAAAAATACGACAGTATATCATGGTAATTATATAAATCTTTGTGTGTTAGAATTTATAAAGCGGTTACTGATATTTTCACTTAAAATGATTTAATGGTTTGCTAGTAAAATTGCCTATTTGACACTAACTTTGTTTTCATTTTCTTTTTAATGATAACATTTAGCTATTGATGAGAAAGTAAAAAAGAATAATCAAATTTTTATAATTACCGAGTACATTTCACGCTAACTTTGAGACGAACCCTAAATGACGTCTATATGGGTGCCGCCATTTTGAAATGGACGTCACGTCAGGTTACAATGTAAGTCAACGGGAAAAATTATAGTTTTAACATTTTGACCATATTACTGACTTTATGAAAACTAGAAATGTGTCATCATGCCACGGATGCCCCCGCATAAAACCAAAATTTCAGATGTTATAATATTTAGTTCCAAATTTGTTTGCACAAATTATTTTTTTTCATTTTAAGTACAAAGCCCTTAAAACTATTCAATGTTAACACAAACCATTTTTATACAAAGTTCAAGGCACTGAAACTATTCAGTGTTAACCTTTTGTAATTTGCATATGATACATATTTGTAGCCAAAATAATTGGTACATACATATCCACAAAATTACGAGTGCTGAAACTGAAAATTCGAAAATTCACCAACATTCAAGAAAGATAACTGAATCCAAAATCATTGAACCACGACCAAATTCAAACTTGAACTGCTTATTCCTAAGATGTATCCATATGTCAAATTTGAGTTGATTGCGTACAACCGTTGGGGAGATAATGAATGGAAACTTAAAATTTCTGATTTTTTTTTCAAAATTCAAGAGGGATAACTCTGTCGGCTATCATCAAACCATGACCAAATTCGAACATGACCAATGCATTCTATCTTTAATTTGTTGTTGAATGTACAATTGTTAGTATGATAATGAATGTGAATTGAAAATTTCTTTTTTTTCAAAGTTAAAGGGGCATAACTCTGCCAAAAATCATCGAACCATGACCAAATTCGAACTTGACCTGTGCAATCCTTTGACATATCCATATGTAAAATTTAAGTTGAATATGTAACACTGTTGGGGAGATAATAAACAGAAACTGAAAAATTCATATTTTTTTCAAAGTGAAAGGGGCATTACTCTGCCAAAGATCATTGAACCATGACCCAATTCAAACTTGGCCTGCGCATTCTTTTAACATATCCATATGTAAAATTTGAGTTGAATGTGTAATACTGTTGGGGAGATAATGAACGGAAACTGAAAATTTCATATTGTTTTCAAAGTGAAAGGGGCATAACTCTGCCAAAAATCATGGAACCATGACCAAATTCGAACTTGACCTGCGCATTCCTTTGACATATCCATATGTCAAGTTTGAGTTGAATGTGTAATACCGTTGGGGAGATAATGAACGGAAACTGAAAATTTCATATTATTTTCAAAGTAAAAGGGGCATAATTGTGCCAAAAATCATCGAACCTTACCTGCATTTTCTCATGACATATCCATATGCCAAATTTGAGTTGAATGTGTGCAACCGTTACTAAGATAATGAACGGAAACTGATGATGACGGAATGACAGAACGACAGAAGGATAGAGGGACGGAATGACGGAACAGGGTAACACTATATGCCCCAGCCATTATATGGCGGGGGCATAAAAATGAAAAACATGCCTAGAGATATTGACGTCAGGGTTTACATGACATTAATTTGAATGATTTTACTATTGTATAAAATAAAAATGGAATATTCAAATTTGATGGGACAGACTATAAAAACATTTTATACGTAAAAATTATTGTATATCCGTATCTCTGATATTCAGTATTTGTGACGATTAGTTTTTATCTTTAACCTCTCTTTACACTCATTTTCTGCCCACAATTTGTCAAACATTATTGCTGTCTCTGCCTCATTCGTACAAGAATCTTCACAGATACATAGAATCTGCCAACCATCCATCCTGTACACGTCCTGAAATGACGTCTCAACAAAGCATTTCTTTTCTCGAGTATCCTGAAACGGGATCATGTACAGCTGTAATGTAACCTTAATCTGATAAAATCAGTCAGTTTCATTCTTTCACAACAAAACATAATTTTGCCCGTCATCAAATGAGCGATGATGTATTTTAGCTGCATTTCTACCAAAACTAAATTTAGATTTTAACAGTCTTCATTTTGCTTATTTGTCAATATGAAACAGAGAAAACCAGGGTCACTTAAGAAAGCTCAACACGGCAAAATTGAAAATGTTGCAGGTTCGCTTCGATTGAGCCTTTTCATGGACAGTACTGAAAAGTGCATGCTACTGTCCACGCCCCCTAGCACCGGCTTAAGCAGAATCCAACATTTAAACAAGAAAATGGTGAAATTTTGAATTTAGAAACATCCGCAGATGTGTTCATACGGCGGTTATCAATGTTCAATGTGACACAGTAGTGCCATTCCATAAAAAAGTGGTGCATGGTCCACAGATTATAGAATGTGTGTGCCCTTAACGAGAAAACAATGGGCGGAACTAAATGAAATGAAATTTTGAAAGGGGATCTGAGGTTATGAAGCCTGCATATCACAGACTAGACATCAAAAGACAATTTAAAAAACAGGCAACATATCCATAGTAATGTAATAAGAATACTGGAACCACTCAAGTGGAAAAAGGCCAAATATAAGAAACTAAAAATACCACATGACATATATACACAACAATTATGTTATGCTGAACGATCTTAAAGGATCGAAAATATAACATCTTTCATTAAATGTACGAGGTTACTTTTTACAGCCGCCACACGGCACAAATAGCACTGATGTGACCATAAAATTGAGAAGAAAAGAATCCCTAAAGAATGAAGACTACATTTATTTGTAACGTCTGTAGAAGAACTTCACTTAAATAATCCCTCGATCTTTTGTTCGAAAAATAAAGACATTTTTCAGCTTTGTTCTTTAGTCACTGACAGAAGGTTTGTTTGCAATTGAAACTCTATCTATCTAGCGATTTTATTTTTGTAGCATTGCGTAATTACCACATCCAATCTTTCTTATTGTGTATACTTATTAGTCTTTGTAAAATATCTACAACATTTCTGGCCTATTAGATAATATGTGTGAATGATGTATACAAAAATGGTTGTGGCATAACAATAACAAATTGTAATATTATTCAGTTTAGATAGTTTTATATGTTGCAAAAAATCTACCCTTTTGTTCACAATCGTGACTTATTGGACCAGTAAAAAATATGTTCAACGTAACAGTACTATTTAAGATATTTCATATTAACTAAATTATGTATGCATATACCTGGTCGTAAGTGTTGCTAGTAGTATTCGGTCTGTTGTTTTCATAATCTATAAATTAAATAATAAAATTATGATACAAATTTAAGCATTTATTTGAACAATGCTCTAAATGTTATGTTTCAATCAGGTTTATATTGATTACACTTGAATCCTAGAATCTTCTGTACGTCCCAAAAAAAATCTAAAATAAAATCAGATATATTATCATATTTTAAATTCTATTCCAGGTTTTTGTTTTGTTGAAAATATACAATATTTTAAATATGTGCATAATAACATATTCCATTGCCAATTTGATTCTAAAAAGTTTACTTTAAACATATATACATGTATCTCAGATTATTTTACTAATAGTTTTCAGTCACATATCAGCATATGAATTTTGTAAAAAAATAAACAACATACAATGAATACACGTTTACCTTTGTTGGAAATTCCGGAATCACCCCTGTCAATATAATAAGAATCAATGTCAAATGTTTTCTTCCAAGAAAAACACTATAAGTTATTAGTATTAAACCATTCTTATATAAACAGTTGAAAATCATAGACTTGGTCTTTATTTAGTATGGTCGTGAGAGGTTATAGAAAGTGCAACATATCTCAGGCCCATTTACGAAAGACCAGTGGGAACATTTCAACTTCACGAAGATTAATTAAAACTCTTTGGAACAATGTGAATGATACTATACAAACCTAGTATGATATTGAGAAAGTTGTTTTATACAACTAGTCAAAGCATAAGTTTCGTTCGTTGATAAAACGGAAAGCCTTTCCCCGGTGATTTTATTCACACAATCGGCATGGTATTGCCAATTCTCTCCGTTCCTTACCCTGTACATTTCACATGTGACGTTAAAATGCTGGAAAAGGAATGTTTTATTGTTAAAGTGCAATTTCTTCTAAGTCTAGAGACACATGATCATCAGGACCCGGTTATTTAAAACATTGGTTAGTGATAACCAACGGATAAAATCATTATCAACTGGCTAAAATGTGTCTGTTGGATAAATTCTGTTTAAAAGCTATCTTAATTAAGGATAAAAAACGTTATCCAGTGGTTAACTTTAACCAGTCCTTCCAGTACCGTCCATGAACAGGCTCAATCAAACCGAACCTGCAACATTTTCAATTTTGTCGTGTTGGATTTTCTTTAGGGATTCTGTTTTTCTCTATTCTATGTCCACCGGATAATGTCCTTTACCAGCGGTAAGTCATCATAATTAAAACAGTAAAAATCATTAAAACTTGACGAATGTTTCAAACAAGGGTTTTTTAAAATATATGTTTAGTTTTTCTTAACTAGAACCTTGTCCATTAAATTGAGACATTTTCTCTAAAAGTGTTTTTAGAACTCTTTTTTTAATTCACTTTGTTGCTGTTGTAGTTTTAGAAAATTCAGTTAAACAGTCATATCTTTCTTATTTTTTAATTAAAATATACAAGTATCAGTAATCATTTTCTTAGTTAGAACATAACCCATCTTATGGAAGTGATTTCAATTATAGATTTGAAATTTTTCTCGTATGCTGTACCATCAGTTCTTCTACGTTTCCAATATTTATTCCATTGTTATTGATGTGTTGTGCAGCAGAAAAACAACGAAAAAATAATAAATGAATATGCATGCTTTTTACTTTTAAAATTGTTATTATTATTATTATTTTTTTTATTATTATTAGTATTATTATTATCTAAAAAGACTATACTTTAAAAGACTGTGAGAAATATAAAATATATCAAAGTGACAAATGTCTAATATTTTAACAACAGATGGCAAATAAATATTTATGTAAACGGAAAATTAAATGTGGCTAATCAATTGTGCTAAAAGTTTTAATATATTGAGGTGACTATGTCAATTAAGCTGCCTGTACTGATTAAGCTGTTAAATCTTGTGACTAATAAAATATTCAGGTGATGATTGTTGTTAAGTAACATGTTATGTTACATGTACCTTATTTTTGTATTAAAACTTGATTGGTAATTTTGTTAATAAGCAACAAAGATGTTAAAATTTTATTGGTCAGTTTAAAACGAAAGAAATTTTAGAAATATTGTAAAAAAAAATTTGGACAATGGGATTTTGGATTTCCAAGCGATAATTTTGTAACTTACCACTATTAATATTTATACCCCCGCACAATGAAAATGTAAGGGGGGGGGGTATACTGGAATCCCCGTTCGTCGGTTTTTCCTTGTCCGCTCAATAACTTAAGATTCCTTTGACCTACAGCCTTCATATTTGGAATGGAGATTAGTCATTACTAGAAAATGACCCCTATTGATTTGTAGGTCACTAGATCAAAGGTTAAGGTCACAGGGGTCTTGACTTAAAAAAGCTTGTCGCCAAATTACTTAAGATTCCTTTGACCCACAGTCTTCATATTTGTAACGTCTGTAGAAGAACTTCACTTAAATAATTCCTCGATCTTTTGTTCGAAAAATAAAGACATTTTTTTCAGCTTTGTTCTTTAGTCACTGACAGAAGGTTTATTTGCAATTGAAACTCTATCTATCTAGCGATTTTATTTTTGTAGCATTGCGTAATTACAACATCCAATCTTTCTTATTGTGTATACTTATTAGTCTTTGTAAAATATCTACAACATTTCTTGCCTATTAGATAATATGTGTGAATGATGTATACAAAAATGGTTGTGGCATAACAATAACAAATTGTAATATTATTCAGTTTAGATATTTTTATATGTTGCAAAAAATCTACCCTTTTGTTCACAATCGTGACTTATTGGACCTGTAAAAATATGTTAAATGTAACAGTACTATTTAAGATATTTCATATTAACTAATTTATGTATGCATATACCTGGTCGTAAGTGTTGCTAGTAGTATTCGGTCTGTTGTTTTCATAATCTATAAATTAAATAATAAAGTTATGATACAAATTTAAGCATTTATTTGAACAATGCTCTAAATGTTATGTTTCAATCAGGTTTATATTGATTACACTTGAATCCTAGAATCTTCTGTCCCAAAATAAATCTAAAATAAAATCAGATATATTATCATACTTTAAATTCTATTCCAGGTTTTTGTTTTGTTGAAAATATACAATATTTTAAATATGTGCATAATAACATATTCCATTGCCAATTTGATTCTAAAAAGTTTACTTTAAACAGATATACATGTATCTCAGATTATTTTACTAATAGTTTTCAGTCACATATCAGCATATGAATTTTGTAAAAAAATAAACAACATACAATGAATACACGTTTACCTTTGTTGGAAATTCCGGAATCACCCCTGTCAATATAATAAAAATCAATGTCAAATGTTTTCTTCCAAGAAAAACACTATAAGTTATTAGTATTAAACCATTCTTATATAAACAGTTGAAAATCATAGACTTGGTCTTTATTTAGTATGGTCGTGAGAGGTTATAGAAAGTGCAACATATCTCAGGCCCATTTACGAAAGACCAGTGGGAACATTTCAACTTCACGAAGATTAATTAAAACTCTTTGGAACAATGTGAATGACACTATACAAACCTAGTATGATATTGAGAAAGTTGTTTTATACAACTAGTCAAAGCATAAGTTTCGTTCGTTGATAAAACGGAAAGCCTTTCCCCGGTGATTTTATTTACACAATCGGCATGGTATTGCCAATTCTCTCCGTTCCTTACCCTGTACATTTCACATGTGACGTTTAAAAATGCTGGAAAAGGAATGTTTAT